AGCTGAACGCTGAACTCCTTGGCAATCCAGAGCCTAAAAGTGTGCCGTAGCATTTGCTATACATTTGGTTGCACTTTTCAACTTATCTGGGGGACATTCCCCCCCCCCCTCCTTAAAAAGAATGAGGGAGGCGTGCCCCCCCCCCTCCCCGTTCCCGCTCTCCCGGAATTGACGACCCTGATTTAAAGCAATGTGAAGACACCGCTCACATTAAACTGATCACACAATTGACCATTTTTCATACACCAAAGAAGAACAAACGAGAGAAATTAAGCATTTTAAGAAGTACAAAAAACGACAGCGGCAAATGCGTGTATCAAAAGAAGAATGAAGCATCTTCGTCTATGAAGTCGAACATACTCTACAATCATTGAGATATCCTCAAAGGCTAAAAGTCCGGATGAGACAGCAAAGGAAAACTTCATATCTCACAAACTATTTGAAATTAAAAATGTTACTAAAATATGCCAGAGAGTATGATTCAATAGTATTCATGTATGTATGCCAATCCCCAATCAACCTAGATTAAGTATGCTTTTATATTTCTACACTATTATTCTACTGAGTCTTTTGAAGATCATACTAAAGAGTATTCGCTCAGTCAGTAGAGCGTCCGCCTTACAACCGGGAGGTCGTGGGTTCGAACCCCGGCCGCGTCATACCTAAATACGTTAAAAGATGGGAGTTGCTGCTACCTTGTTTGGCGTTCAACAATAAGGGGATGCTGTTGACACTGTATTGGGCGTAGGGAGTGAGAAAGATATGCAGCTATTACTGCATGTTGTATAATGTTATATGTGACGGTTTGGGCTACATATGAATGTCAGCAAAACTTAGCCTATGGTTTTCTCGAGGGAAAAATAAAAAATGGCCATATCGTTGAATATGTCAATATTTACATCAAGCTATGACATCATGTCACTGACAATGCAATCAATACTTTTGTTGTGATATTTTGTAATCGCGCGGAGTAAATTTCTGGCGATAAAATACATTTACAGCAAGAAAAACGGAATTCGAACTTATTATAAAACTAATCAATAGGTATGCAGTTTTGTTAAAGTTGAGACTGTTCAAAAGACGATGAACTATTGGTGTACAAGGGAGAGATGGGGGTATCATGGAAATATCTGGAAATTTACATAAACAAATATCACATACAAGAAAATTAAACTATATATCTCTTGACATGAAAGCCTAAGGAAAGATAAATATTTTGGTTCCATCCGTGACATTAGAAAGTAAAGTAAATAGTACTATACAAATAGGAGTATAGATCACTTAAAAGGGGGGGGGGGGGGTTGATTTTTATTAGAATGACTGTAAAAAGTAAACCAGAATGGGAGATAACTGAGATGTGTGGGGAAAATGTTGCCATGAACCTCCGATCTGGGAGAAGATACCACGATAAATATATGTTTGTCGGTTCCAGGCATTACATCCACTCTTTATATAGGGCCAGGCATTTTGATTAAGATAATTCCAGCTAGGTCTAAAACACACCTTGTTTTGATCAGGTTTAAAATGAGGTAGAGTATTTTGTTTAGATTTGGCTCCTTTCAAATAATTTGTTGCTATGGTGACATAGATACCTTGACTCTTTTCTCGATGTTATAATTGCATCAATGTTTATTTTTTTCGAAATTATCCCATCGTTTATAAAACGTGATGTTTTTTTTCTTTCCGAGTGAGCAGTTATATACCGACTTTTGCTAGCCTATTTATGGTGTTCCCTTTTTTCAAACTTCTTTTTTTATTCATGTTTGCACGGCGATCCAAGGGTATAAACAGGGTGACCAAGATATATGTTTTTTATCATACAACGCAATGAATAGCAGTACATTGTCGGATAGATTTCTCTTAGGATATCTTGCATTGTTTGTAAATATTATTCAACTCAATGTCAGTTATATCAAGATGCTATTTTGTGCGATTTAAATATGCCAGCTGTATTCATGTTGATCATACTTATGGAAATATGTTTATTGCACAGTTTCGTGTTGAAATTGTTAAGCTGCACGTAATTCAAATTCTTACAAGACGCTGTAAGGGAAACGGGAAGGTAGGGGAATATTCAAGTAAATTCAACGACTGCACTAACGCATAGTTTTGCGATAGTGTCAATGTAAGAATCAGGTTTAGATTCGCGAATAAATAGCTAAGCATAGGACCAATATGACAAATTATACATCTTTTCCGAGTTTAAAGTTCTCTCATTAACCATTATTATTACAAACATATTAGTAAAATCATGACGAAACTCCTCCAAAATATATAGATTTGAATTACTCAATTTTCATTCTTATGTACGCGAGTTCATTTCCCAGCTTTATAGTAAATATAATATCAATACCTAAACTATTGTTGAATTTTCGTCGTTAAAAAGTGGATGAAAGTAAGTCTATACTATGTATCGTATTATCAATTGTTCGCCCACCAATGACTTGGTAAAACGTCTCACCTGGTTTGTTGCATCCGAAGAATGCTTGCTGAGTATATGATTGTGAAGTATACGTGCAGCTTCGGTGGTCCGCAATATCATAAGCGCACCTCTTCACGTAGGTTATAACAACATTGCTGCTATGTACAAAGACTTCCCACAAGTTAAGCTTCATTACTTCAAGCTGATTATATATATTTGATAGCTTTAGTAATCGATTCGTAGCCCAATAGGACGCAGACCAATATCCATAGAGCAGGTAGCTTAAAATGCCTTTTGTATTATTATTATCAAAGTATTGTTGTGGTTTTAAAAAAAGTGTCCTAGCAGCAATAGAAGATTTGAGAATTTCACTATTTAATTGCATTATCCAGCTTACTTTATACGTTACTTTTCGATTTCGGGGATACTTTGTGTAACTAGAAACAAAGTTTGAAAGGACGTCGATGATAGTGGTATGCGAAAAAGAATTATCATGTTTTTATCATGTTCGAATGGTACGGAGGTAGTCCCTAGAATGCAAAGTTTGTTAATGCTGTAAAAGGGGAACAAATCTTAAGAGAATTACACCCCACCCCTTCCTCCGTGAAAACATAACGATTAGTCTTTGTGCAGTAAAACAAGTAGTAGTAGTAGTAGTAATAGTATAAATAGAAGTAGTAGTAATAGTAGTAACTACTTGTAGTAGTAGTATAATTAGTAATAGTAGTAGTAGTAGTAGTAGTAGTACTAGAAGTACTAGTAGTAGGTAACTACTAATTCTGGTAATAGAGAATTAGTAAGTACACCATTAGACCAAATCATTGAGCAGTGACAATAATAATAATAATAATAATAATAATAATAATAATAATGATAATAATAATAATAATAATAATAATAATAATAATAATAATAATAATAATAATAATAATAGTACAGTTCTTATATAGCGCATAATACATTTGTACATCTCTACGCGCTGTACATTATATGTATTGAATTAAATGGAAATTACTAAATAATCTGCCATTGATAATAGATTTTCCATGTAGGTTAAGGCCTTTTTGGTGTAAGGAAAAAGATAAGATACGCGTTAAGGCCCTTTTGAAATTCATAATTATCTTCTTAAATAAATCGAATTTCAACAAGTGAAGCACATCATTTTAAAGAGAATGATGAAATATACAAGGTGATGTTAATAACTCAATAACCCCCAAAATCGGGTTAAGGCCCTTTTGGCATAAGGCCGACGATATATGCAATATGTGTTTTATTTCCTTTCCTTTCAGGTCAAGATATACCAGACATTTTGTATTGTACATGATATACCTAAATAATTTGTGTTTAATAGTGAACCCCTTATAGTTATTTGGGTTATATTCATATAAAAGTCTTATATTGTACACATAAAACTAACTCCTTCTCTCGTTTAATTGAAATTGTCCTTACTAATCTAGAGCATATTTTATAATTTCATAGTAGGCCATAATCTTACTTGTTAATAGTTAACCCCTTTTTTTTAATGTATATTGTTTTATACTCATGAAAAAAATGAGCGCTACAGAAAGAGCGCACTCCCCTTCATTGTGAGGTTACTCAATTCAAAACTTGATTAATGTAAAGACAGATCTCTTGTTCTTAAATGCTAAGCATATACGTACACCAATTGTTATCTTATAGATGTGCCTAAATAAAAACTTATGTTGTTTACAGAAGGTACATGTTTTGTTTATACGGATTATATTAATTTCAATATCGCATTACCTATCATTTTCTCTATTAGCCAGTAATAGGAAGTGAAACTATAATTCCACTATCCATTCGTCTTAGGCGAATTATATGTCATTTTTTGTTCTCCATATACATGTACCTTGCACCCATATGACAATAGGCCTACTTTGAAGCATGCAAAAGAGATTATTTTTCTTAGCACTTATTATAATTTATTCAACTGTTATATCCTTTCTATGAATTTGCTTAAGTCATATCATAAAACGTTTATTTTCCGCATCCATTACCTACCTCCGTTTTCCCACCATATTATTTGATCTAAGTTGTACCTATAATTATTTATTATGAATGTACTATTTTTAATTACTTTTTAATACTAATGCATCTTGTGCAGTATTCTTGTGTTATTAATTATGTAAATTGCACTCAGTTCAGCCGAAAGGCTGCCATATAAAAAAAATATATACCACAATAAAACAAATACAAATAAATAAAAAAATCACAAATTATATTTTTGATAACGAAACTTTACTGGTGGTATTTCCGTTGTTTAAAAGTTAGGGATGCTGTAATTTATTTAGGCGATCAAGCTAGATCGTTGTGACATTTTAAGGGATATATTATATAAGTTGGTTGCTATCTTGTGTGTTTGAAACGACTTAATTAATGTTAATAATAAATATTGTTAAGTTATGATAAACATCGATAATTCTCGGTTTCATTTTTTTTTTTTTTTTTTTTTGGGGGGGGGACGCACTGTATAATGTGATGTTTTATTTTGAGGTTTTAGTGGTTTCAGTTTTTATTTTTTTCTTCTTCTATCCCCAAAATGCTGTGAATATGACAGCTCCAACACTGTGCAGTGCACCTTATATTCCGAGATATTCTTCGATTGAAAGTCATCATTTGAACTACAATTACGATGACACAGTGACAGTGACATGTGACACGAACAATGATCAATTTACCATGCGGTGTCAGGCAAGTGGATTATGGGATGGCCCTGATATATCCTGTGCAGCACCTACATTGCCGGTAATACCAGCTCCATGTAAGTAAATATATTTTGGGTATTGTATCTGAAATCTTTTCTTTCTTATACTCCCTTGTTTCCACCATCACCATCGTCATCATCATCATGTTCTTCTTCATTATCACCACTACCATAACCATAACCCTGGCATAAATGGGGCCCGGGGAAATATAACAATTTAAATATAAAAGTAATATAAACACGCACTGAGATGAACGCACATCTTGCGCTCAATCCGTTACAATAATCACTGATATCTAGAATAACATTTTTTTTTTCCAGAGAACCTGATATTTTGTTAAACAAAAATACAAAGTACATATAAAACTCAATCCTGTTTTATAACTTTAACTGTTTTTCATTACAGTTTCTTTCCTTTTTTCTCTTTTCATCTCTTCGATTTCCAGAATCTGATTTCCCTTTGCACACCTAAACCTACAAACTTTCTTCAACATAAAATCTTACCACCTATCAATTTTATTCCATTGTCCATATGACAAGGACGAATAGTTTTGACCGTGATTAGTAGCATTTGTGGATTTAAAGCAAATTTTTAAATATAAATATTGTTTTCCTTTTATGTGTTGGTGTCCCAAACTTAAAAACGCTTGAATTGCCATTACAATGACAATATATAATGTAAATATTTTGAAGACTATTGGTTCTGTGTGATTAATAAACTTGTATTTACTGAGCAGAGTCGTACAGGTATTTCTGAGAGAGGTTTAAATATCACCTGTTCAATACGTGTATGTATTATTTCACTCATTAATTATTTTAAGAACGTCACAAATTTAAATATCCTAAAGAATTCCAAAAATGTGAACCAACGCTTCCCATTATTAAAGTATCTCGTGGTCACCATACGATTATTTGCATATATTCTCTCCACAGTTCCTCCATCACATGCCTCATGCAGTGCACCAGCAGTGCCTATTGACTCAACCATTCAGAATCTTCGTCTCTCATACAAAGACGGTGACAGGATGAACGTGACATGTAACGTGGGTTCTGATTGGTTCGACGTATCATGTGACGATGGAATATGGATAGGCCAAAACATAGTTTGCCCTGACCCTCCCAAAGGTAAGCAAAACATACGTTTTAAAAAGCTACCTGTCGTAAAGTCATTGCATGTAATAAAAATGAAGAGGCGTCGTGGTATAGGGCTTCATTCAATTGACTCTCAGTGGAGGGGTTGATGGATCGAATCCCATCCCGCTACTAAATCCTTTGAACACATTGGCCCGAATTCACAAAGCAAGGTTTGAGCTCAGACCAAGGTTTACGTACGTCATATGACACGTTTTAGACCTTGGTTCAGACCTTGGTCTGAAATGCATTTCACAAAGCCGGTTTGTCCTCAGACCAAGGTTTATGTACGTCATATGACGCGTTTCAGGTTTGAGTTCAGACCTTGGTCTGAAATTACATTTCACAAAGCAAGGTTTGTCCTCAGACCAGGTTTATGTACGTCATCAGACCCGAAATTTACAGACTGCTCAGATAGGAGGTTTGTAATTTCTCAAACCTGGTTTGAGAGCTATCAACCAATCAGGATGCAGCACTGGGTGGAGATAATTTATGCTCGATTGATTTTATCCAAATAATTCACCGCCTAAACAATCTGCGATAGTATCTGGTCAGCCCGATTTTAGTGCAATTGAAATCTCTCAATCTCTCGATCCTTTCCTTAAAATCGTAAGTATAAAACCTGTACATGTAGTCGAATCCATACTCTTCACGTTACTGAGATTTCAATATGTGATATGCTTTATAACTTTCCATTTTCCATGAAATGTTCGGTGTTTACATATCCGACGGCCTCTCAATTCCAGAGTTCAGGGACTGAGTCCGAGGGAGCTCGAGTCCAACGCCCAAGGCGGCGGCGGAGCTCGCACCCTCTGACCCTGGGCTGGAGTTGGGCCTAGCCGGGCCTACAGTACGCTATATCTGAGTATGTCAGTATGACTGTCATGTTTAATTTCGTCTTGTTGTCAGCAATGCCATGACACATGCCTATTAGAATAGGCCTAGACCTACACTAGTTATTACAAATTCATGATAATGATAATAATACCAGGCTCTAGCCTAGTATAGGCCTGGCAATGATGTCCATCACTTGACTTGTTTCACTGACACTGGTACCTAAATAAATAGAAATTAAAATGGCATCAGCAATGCCAATGTTCCCCAAAATGAATCACACTGACAGGCATGGACCAAAAGCTTCAGTCTCTCTATATCGCCGGTTGTTCACTGAGACTACGCCTGGCTCCACTAGACCTCCGATTATAGAATGTCAACAAATGTCAGTTTTAATATTATTTTTATTAAAGAAATGACCCATATCACTCAGACGGTTATTTCTGTCTATGACTAGATCTAGATCTAGTATGAGTCGTGACAAGCAAAGCTTAGTTTTATTAAATTTAGATCTGGTTCTGATTGTCTTAATTAACTGGCTTAGTCTCCAGAGCAAGGATCACCCACAAAGTCACAAGCACAAGTAATAACATTTCTTTAATTTAAAAACATTGTTTAAACATTTGTTTAATTTTATCTTCACTCTAATAAAGATGGTAGAAATGCAGCTGATTCAGCATAATGAGCTGGTGTACCTGAAGGAGGAGCTGGAGCAATATATAGCAGCACAACCGGGCAGAGGCCTCTGAGTCTGAGATTGGGAAAACCCGCTGGATGATGAGCCTTTTGTTTTAGATTGAGGTAGGCTACTTTGAATTCAAATTCTGTATTGGGAAAGTTGCTGAAAACATGGCCAAACTACTTGATGAATATTGTTAACATAGCTATACAAAAAAAGGGCTTCTGTTCTAAAATCCAACCCTAGACTAGTGTCGTTATTAAAATGCAGAAATATTTCAATTCATGTTGACCGCCTAAATTCACTGTTCGTTTGCCCCGCTTCGCTGGTCTGCCTACGACCGTGCAAGCCCCCAATGCAATACACATGTGCATTTACATAAATTTATTCAATTTCTAAGCATTTTCTGTCATATTCGATACATTGATAGATTAGTTATGATATTTATTCTTTTACATGGTACTGTAGGTGATGGGAGCATTAATGTTCATAATTTGTGTGTGGGGCATTTCCCAATACTGTTATTTGGCTTTAATACATGAGGAAATTATTCAGATTATGTGTTGGAAACAGGTTTGTGATTTCTTGTTTTGTGTAAAACTACTTAACTACTTAAACTTATTTTTCAAAAGGTGAAGCCGTGAAGGAGATTAGAAAAGGCATAGACAATTTTGTCTTTTACGTTAAATTGATTCACACCACATCTAGAAATCAGGATTTTTTTTGTTGTAAAGTGACAGTGACAGTTGGGGATGTAAAAATATAATAGCATAAACCAGCAAAAAAATGATTTATTTGAATGCTTGTTTTTTTAATTTTTTTAAAAAGGTAATTCGATCTAAAGGATGCACCGTGAGGAGGTGGCATGCCGTGTCATATTCATCTGTTTGCCGAATGGAGAGTAGTGAGTGAGGGATGTTTCCGAAGCTGTTGTCAGAAGAAAGGGACAAGTCATGAAGTTTCCTACAAGTTACAAGGCAATAGTGACTACTATTCAGAAGCAGTTTTTCCAGTACTGCAGATTTCCAGGAGTTGCTGTTGATGGGACACATGTTTACATCAGGAGCCCTGGTGGGGCAAGAGCCAGGTACTACTTCAATAGGAAGAACAGGTACTCCATCGATGTTCAGGTGAGAATAAATGAATACATCATGACTGGATCCAGCACGGCTTTCCCTTTAGACCTTTTTTTTTTGTACCTTGCAAAATTTTCACATTAGATATATACACTCTCCAGTCTTGTGTGTTGTACATCCATGCTAATTCATTGGTGACCAATGCAAGATTTCTAGTGGCCAAATGGATATTAAAGTAATATTCGCGTACAGGTACTCATTTCACTGCCTTTGTACACAGTTAAGAATATCCAATGGATAGTTAAACTTAAAAATCCTAACACTCGTTAATATCTTTTTAACGAAAGGGAAATTTGAAAAATCAAAACTTGTTCCATCCTTCTATTGGCAATACGGATATGACCTCTAGATTTCTGATATTTTGTTGATGGCCATGGCAATTGGGCCACTGTTTTTGCCATTGATCAAGGAAAGAAAAAACAACAAAGAGAAGCATGTAAATTGATCAATGGCAATTACCACTATATATTTTAAACTATAGAAAAACAAACAGGTTCATTTCCAATAAAAAGATGCGAGAGTGGGTACCCCCTCCCCCCCCCCCCCCCCCACACACAAACAAAGCATTTGTTGTTTTAGGCTCGAAATGTTTTGTTAAAAGTGAGATTATTTTTGTTTACATTGTTACAAGATAAACAATGAAAACATGAGTTAAAAATGAAGAAATACTTCATCAGTCAATAAATACAGGGTAATTAGAATTTTCTTCCAATTTTTGTTGTATGAATAGATATTGAAAAGCAATTATCACATATTCAACTGCATTTGCATTAATTACCATAAATAACAAGTGAAATTTATACATTTCACGGCCTATCTGAAGTGTGAAATGAGTGAGTTTTCATAACTAATGAATGCCAACATGTTATTTCATATTGACAGGTTGTCTGTGATTATGCTGGGAAAATAACTAGTATCGTTGCAAGGTGGCCTGGACTGGTAGCAGCCACGATGCCAGGATCTTTTCTGAGTGTGCACTGAATTGACAGCTTGATGCTAGGGCATATGAATAACAGTTGATTCTTGGAGATAGACTATAGGGTAGGTACTGTAGATTATTTCTTTATATGAAAACATTTGTTTATTCTTTTTCTTAATCAATCTTGTTTCCTTTTTTGTATTTGGCCAACATGTGACATGTTAGGAATGTTCATTTGGTAATATAGTAACAACTCGCATTAAGTAATTAATTCAAACGAGCTCATGTGCTTTTAAATTTCAGTTCACAAATCACAATTAATGTTTTTGATATCTGGATGCAACTTGATTAGTTTGTTGTCAAGTGGAACCTCATAGTTTTTGTATTAGTGACACAGGATTGAATAATTCCTGATTATGTGTACAATACATTGTATCCTTTCTATAGTATTACCCCCCCCCCACCCCCCTCCAAGAAAAAAAATGAACAAGTCGAAATTAAAAATATTGTTTATGATATTGTTTATTTTGTTCATTCAATTTTGCAGGTATCCATGCCTTCTCTGCCTCATCAGAAGCCATTTCTTCATTCAGAGGGTTGACCACAGATGTGCTTTAAAGGCCATCTGTACTAGTTCAGCCAAAGAGGATTAGACAACCCAGCAAGGTCACTGACGGGAGGCTATCTCATCAATTCAGTTCTCAATTAACATAAGAAAAAGAGGATCATGGGGGATTAACAGGCACAGATTGGGGAAGTTTTCTATATAGAGGGAGCAAGTAGCTAAAAGTAGTACAGTGGGGCTTTAACACTTCACACACAAAAAAGGGAGATGTGTGATTGAGCGCATATTTATTAAATGCCTCATCAATACTAAGAGTATTTCAAAATACGGCCCCTCCTTGGTGTTCCCACAATACTTCGTAGTTATGCAGCATTACATCAAGAACCTGGGTGTTGAATATTTTTGATGTTATGTTTAGTTGATAAGTATTTGTTGTCACTCTGACGGTATTTGTAATTAAGTGTTCTCTATAGATTAAATGCACCCGATTTAACTATAATTAGCATTGTACTGCTGAGTTGAGGGGTGGGTCAATATAAATTATTTGGTTGGCAGCTAGGGGAGAGTATTCGAACAAACATTATTTACTGTACTAAGCGAAGTCAGAATTAAAGAACTTTTATGTGCAAATTTGAATTTTCGTCACCCATTTTGTTGTATTTCTGATTTTCTTTCTGCTAATAGCGCTACAGTGAGACTTTTAATTGGCCTTCCAGAGCCTCTCTCAACCTCTAGTGGGCTATATTTCATATAAGCATGCTACAAAATTTACAAATGTGAACTGCATTGTTTGAACAAACGGTAGATTACTATTGTGTTGAATGCTCAATTATTTATGTAAAACATGAAAATACAAATACAATATTCTTGCTTTCATATATTTACAAAGATAACTGAAATAGATATGTGTCAGATTATCTCTCTCTCTCTTTCTCCCTTTTTTTGGGGGGGGGGGTGCAGATGTGTGTGTTTGCAGTTTGCATGGTTTTGCATTATGTGTTTCATTGCAAAAAAGAAGAAGAAGAGAGAGAGAGAGAGAAAGTTGAATAGAGAGAGAGAGGGGACAAAGAAAAAAATTAATAGAGAGAGAAAGGGAGGGAGAGAGAGAGAGAGAGAGAGGGGAGAAAGAAAAAGAATTAATAGAGAGAGAAAAGGAGAGAGAGAGAACAAAAATGGGTATAGAAAGAGAGGAGGGACGGGGACAGAGAAAGAGACAGGGAGGGAGAGAGAGAAAGATGAATAGAGAAAGAGGGGAGAAAGAAAAAGAATTAATAGAGAAAGGGAGGGAGAGAGAACAAAAATGGGTAGAAAGAGAGAGGGACGGGGACAGAGAAAGAGACAGGGAGGGAGAGAGAAAGAAAAGATGGCCATAGAGGAATTTTTAAAAATTAATATTATATGGAAACAAATCATTTACCAGTTGCAATTTTGATGTGAAAAAAATAGCCAGTTGGGGAAACAAACGGGGAACTAGTTAAAATAATAACTGATTGACCATTCTAACAAAATAACTATATAGATGTATAGTAATTAACAATTGCAATCAAATGAATTAATATATTAATCACAATAAAAACTTAATTCATATTAAATCATTATTATTATTATTATTATTAGGTGATTTTATTGATAAGAATGTGTAACCCCCAAAACAATAAGACTCTTACAGTTAATTTAAAAGAGCCCTTGACAACCTTAGATGTATTTATCTAACGAAGGTTTTCAGGTGCCGATGTCAATTTGTTCTGGGTCAGATTGAGTGCTTCACCAGCACCACACAAATGTGAGTACGTGGGGCACTTTCTGCATCGGCGCGCCAGTTTGGTTCGATTAATTCATGAAAATACAATTCAAAAGTTTATTTCAGAGATGTTCTAACCATCATCTTTTCAAGATTGCTCATTAAGATGTCCGGATCGTACTAAGAATGCTTAGTTTAACAGTTTTTTCAATTCTTAACATTTAAACCCTAGCCCATAAAAATTATGTTAGAAACCCTATGGCTGAGACTAGTTTTACAAACCTTGGTCGGAGGTTTGGGAATTACAGACCAAGGTTTATACAAACCTTCCTTTGTGGAATGGGTTTGAAAATAAACCAGGTTTGAGCTCAGACCGAGGTTTGTACAAACCTTGGTCTGATCAAACCGGGTCTGTCCTCAGACCTCCGTTGTGAATTCGGGCCATTAATGCGCAATCGCCTATTTTTGACAGTGTACATATACATGTAGGTGCCTGACGATTACCGGGACATTAATAATTGCAAGACGAAAACTCAATCATTATTTATTTTTAATAACCATGATTATCTAAAAATGACACGATGATAAGAGCTAATGTGATAAAGTGCCCTTCAAAAGAGCTTATTATCTATTTGAGTATGTGTGTGTGTGTGTGTGTGTGTGTGTGTTTATCGGACAGTTTGTAGCGTGCATAATCAAGGCAACTTCGTTTACGATCGAAACAAACAGAGTGAGTCAGAAAAAAATGTCCCACCTTGTAAAAGTTATATTGTTTGAAGTGTGAATAATTATTCATGGGTTTCATGATACGTCTTGATAGAGTTATCATCCTAGTACATTAAGGTACCCTTTTTATCTGAATCTCTGCATGCATGAGTGAACATCAGCCAACCTTTACAAGACTGCCGGATCTTACTTGCGCCAAGTTACTTGGTGAGGAATAAAACAGTGCATTGAACAAAGACAGTCAGACAAACACAAATATATACACTTTTTTTTATTTTATTTTTACAATTTTGTTTTATTTCTCCAGATGTGTAATACAAACCATGACATACAATTGAATAAAATAAACGTGTTCAATATTGATGCTTTGACATAAACATAATTAAACACAAACTTATTTGCAGTATAAGGACAGTATAAGGACAGCGCAAACACACACACACTCACGTACACACACACACACGCACACAGATGAGCGTTCCATTCTCGACAAGGCCCACCCAAACTGTTACTTTTTATCGGGAAATCTTGTTCTTGTACGAAAAGTTGAGTGGCCGCTGTCCTCTTGGTGCGTATTGGCGGATGCTGTGCTTCAGGACGATGATGATGATAGTGATGATGTTGATGAAGATTAAGATGATGATAATGATGATGATGACATGATGGTGGTAGTGAACGTGTACTAAAGGATGCCACTTAAACATTCAGCGATCCTGATAGAAAAATAAATGCTTAATCAGAAAAGGGGAAATTGTGAAACAATTCTCACCGTGTGTGTTGTGTGTATGAGCGAGTGTGCGTGTGCGTGGATGCGTTTGTGTGCGTATGTGCGTGTATGTGTGTGTGTGTGTTTGCGTGTATATGCGTGTGTGTGTGCGTGTCTGTCTGACTGTCTCTGTTCAATGCACTGTTTTATTCTTCACCCAGTAACTTGACGCAAGTGAGATCTGGCAATTTGTAAAGATTGTCTGGTGTTCACTCATACATGCAGATATTCAAATGAAAATGGCACCTGAGTGTACGTGGACGATAACTCTATCAAGACATATCATGAGTCACTTTGTAGTTCCCATTTTCAATCATCAAATATTTGCACTTTTTGGGGCAACTACAAGCGCTCGAAAGAAGCTTCCCTGAATTATTTGTCTGCTCTAATCATTGAAGAGTCTTGGGAGAAGTCTTTGATTTTAAATATTTTACAATTTTCTTTTTGTGTACACGTATACCCTAATCGCAATAAATCAGTATGTTGTAATGTTTAAATACTTCATTTGCAGAATGCAATCCACCAATCATCCCCGTCGTTTCATTCATGGAAAATGTTAAGCCTCGGTACAAGATTGGTGACCAAGTCAACATCACATGTAACGACGACTCTGATTGGTTCGCTTGGGAATGTCACACAGATGGCTTGTGGCGAGGGAATTCCGTCCAGTGCTCAACTGATTGTCCTCCGCCCGGAGGTTATTATACACTTTGAAATGTCTGATATAAGGGGATAATGTGGTACCAGACTGATAACAATCTTGTATTCAAGTTATAATAATTATGGTGTAAATGATTATCATCTTAAATTGTAGCATACTAACAGATTAAAAGTAATAAATGTAAACTGGTCCTTTAAATGTAAATATAAGTAATATGAGAGAATGCCTCTCCGCCGCCTCAAATAAGGGAGAGTTTACACTAGCTCTTATGTTGCACAATATATATTTCTCTGTTTAAAGGCCGAGTAAAACAAGGTGATGAATAACAAAAGCCGAAGCATTTTTGACAAAAGATTGGAAAGAAACACAAATTGTAAAGAAAGAAAGGATACTGCTTTTCAAATTAAGCTCATCTCTTTGCAAATTATTAATAAAAGTGTATCAACTTACCTATTTGGGATTGTATTATTATTGTTTATTATTTACCTCCCTACTTATTTTTTCCACGTATCTCTTTCACGCAAAACTTTTTTATGAGCATTTATTTTGTTATATTTTTTATTTTGTTTAACATATTTGACGGGGCTGCTGTAATCATGTAGGGGAATTTGCTGTTTTTTTATTTTTAACGAATATCTGAGAAAAATAAATACAAATATAATAAAGAATATAAGCACATATGTAATAATAATATGTATACAAAGACGAACACGTTTACAAATGCGATTAAAAATACGAAGAAGAATACAAATAGAAATACAAATGTTAATGATGCACAAACAAATGAAATGATGCAAATACAAATACGAATATGAATATAAATACAAATACAAATTCAAAGGAAAATACAAATTAAAAACAAGACAAAAATACAAATACAAATACAAATACAAATTAGATTACGAATAAATATACGCATCCAAATTCAATTACTGAAATTTAATACAAATATATCTGATGATAATTGGTGTTTGCTTATAATCAAATTACTTATATTTACAGGAGGAAAACCTACATTTCCAGAGCGCATTGCATATTCTATGAGTGAGCAAAGGGGAAGGGATTACTTTATCACCGGTCTTCTGGTTACAGCTGTCATCTTATTCATCCTTGTTCTCATGTGTATGGCTGCGTTTGTTATCTTCACGAGAAAGTAAGTTAATGTTTATTATAATAATCGTATAGAGTGGTGAAGAGTGACGTCGTCAAAAAGCTATTTTTATAATTTCTAAATTTCATTTTCATTTTCTGAAAGAGCATCACAAATAATGTCCGAATGGTTAAAACCAATTGAATATATTTAGTTTTGGCTGAAGTATGACCATCTGAAAAAAATATGGCTCGGTGTAAAAATGTCAGAGGTAAAAATGTCAGAGGTAAAAATGTCAGAGGAAAAAATGTCAGAGGTAAACATGTCAGAGGTCAAAATTTCAGAGGTCAAAATGTCAGAGGTAAAAATGTCAGAGGAAAAAATGTCAGAGGTCAAAATGTCAGAGGAAAAAATCTCAGAGGTAAAAATGTCAGAGGTAAAAATGTCAGAGGTAAAAATGTCAGAGGTAAAAACAGTTAGAGGTATAAAATAAAAACAAAAGCATGTGACAAGTTTGTTATGGTTACACCCGGGTTATATATTAGGCTTATCGAAAAAGAACAGCGAGGGATATTCTGCAGTCATTATTTCACCGCTGCTTTATTTTCCACTTTCCCAGTTTAAATTTATTTACCTTTCGGCCCCAAATTGTGACTTTTTGCCCGATTATTGTCGAAGGAAGACGGGGAGGGGGTATTCTTCTTCTGGGGCACGGTGACCCGGCTGCTCTCCCCCTTCCTCTTATATGCTTTGCTATATATCCTTCCGAACAGTGGTCAATGCCTAGGCAGAGCAGCCAGACTAATGGGACATGGTTTCTACTCCGAGTTTCGCGCCTTGCAAGCAGTCATCAGGCAACTGATAGCATTCTTAAAGTACATGGTTATCCTACAACCTTGGTACAAATACCCCTAAAATAAGACTTAACTAATAAAATACAATCGGAATTACTCATGAGTATTCTTATTGTATTGTATTCAGGTATTGTAGTCTTATTGTATTGTATAGCTCTTATTTTGAGCGTATTTGTACCAAGGTTGTAGAGAAATCGTGTACTTTGACGAATGCTATCAGTTGTCTGATGATCGCTTGCAAGGCGTGAAACTCGGAGTAGCAACCATGCATGTCCCATTAGTCTGCCTTATTCAATATTTATATACCGGTATATTATGCTTTTGTATAAGCAAATGGTACTGGTACACTGAGCAAACTTCTGGGGGAAAAGATTTCTAAAATCGAGAAGTTTGGCCATGTTTTATAGGCTGAGTTGTCGCTCCATGGTGTAATCATTAAATAAAAAGAAAAGTCAGTACAGCCCACAAAAAAGGATCAGATATCTATGAACCTCCCCCCCCCCCCCCCCCACTTCTCCCTTCACTTTTGAAGATAGTTGGACATTTCAACTGCGTGGCAATGACTACTATTATATGTAATTTCCAATAAATGCATATTTCCGACAATTCCACTTTCTTGTGGGCTTGGTATTTTGATACTCTGAAAGTAGGGTCCATGCTGAAACAAAGCAGAAAGCCATGTTATCAGTGCTAACCGCACCATCACATTCCCGAAGTGCGCACGTTGCAATAAAATATTGTCGATTACTATTGCGGTATAAAATAGTCTGGGAAAAAATCAATAAGCAGCTTTGTTACTCCGATACAAAGCAGAAATCCGCCCATGTTACATCAATTAAAGAGAAGGTTGAGTTCTGGGGAAAGGTGAACAATAATGTGTGAGCGTTTGTTATCATTCTTATTATGCAAGTGTGGAAGAACATCAAAGAAAAAAGTTATTCCCTGAAAATCTATTTCAAATGACTTCATATCCCATATATGACAAGTAACAGCTTTAAAATGAGGCCCGATTTGTATGCCATAAGTTTGTGTAGTCCCATATCAATATCTTTCTGTGTACAGTGCTTGTTACTTTACCAAGACTGGGCCAAAGATTTTATCATTTTGATGACTCCAAAACCTTGCACTACACACCAATACTTACATGTTTATGCTAGATGATCAACCTTTTCTGATTGCTTCCACACCGTTTCTTTCACAATGCATTCGCATGACCAGAACTCAACTTTATCTTTAAATGCCAACCGCACCATCACATTTTAGAGAAGCGTGCGCTTTGCAGAGGTTCGGTTTAAATTACATCGTTATTTATAATTGTCGGAGAGTTTAAAATGGGGATGAGCTTCTGAATCGAGACGGTCTTTTACTTTTTGGAGCGGGTTATTAGTTTTCGGAGCGACTTTTTACTTTTCGTAGCGACTTCTTGATTTTCTTATTCTTACTCCAATTCCTTTGCCGCCATGAGGTGCTAAAGCTTTAGCAGAGTTCGGGGCGACCAGCCCTTATATGTAAATTTTCGTGATTCATCGTGATTATGTAACTATATTGTACTAAATGCACTACTCACTTTAACACTTGACTTTTGTCGAGAATTTCCATTTCTTCGTTTAGACTTTGTACAATATTGCAGGCTGCCACCGGCCAAACCGGTCCGTTTCACAAACATTAACACATCAACCAATTCAATATATAGAAAAGGTTAGACATTCATTATATGCGAGCCTGATCACAACGAAATAAATTTCAAAATCTATTTTCCACATTGTATTATCCTCAGGACATGTACGAAATACAACACACAGCCATTTATAAAATTTACATTATGGAAGAAAGGAATATAATAGACTAGCCCATGCAGTAGCAGTACGTCTCAACATTCTGTGTGATAAAAGTGTTGAGATATTATGACGGCATTCATTTTTTTTGCTTGTACCTCTGACATTTTTACAACTGACATTTTTTCCTCTGACATTTTTACCTCTGACATTTTTACCTCTGACATTTTTTCCTCTGACATTTTTACCTCTGACATTTTTTCCTCTGACATTTTTACCTCTGACATTTTTACCTCTGACATTTTTACCTCTGACATTTTTTCCTCTGACATTTTTACCTCTGACATTTTTTCCTCTGACATTTTTACCTCTGACATTTTTACCTCTGACATTTTTACCTCTGACATTTTTACCTCTGACATTTTTACCTCTGACATTGTTTCCTTTTGACATTTTTACCTCTGACATTTTTACCTGGCACCAAAAATATATGTCCTATGGGAACTCAGTGTGGTAGTGCTCTGGTTCATAACATTAGGAACCAGAGCACTATAACACTGAGTTCCCATAGAACATTTATTTATTCATAGGGTCATATCTCAGCCAATACTTAATATATTCAATTGGTTTTCGACATTCGAACATTAATTTTGATGGTCTTTTGGAAAATGAAGAAAAAATTGAGAAATTCTAAAAAAAAGATTGTTATGATGGCACAGCTTCGGTACGCTATAATGTCTAGATCTGTACAATAACTTGTTATTATGTTTTCAGTGTATTTTCTCTTTACGTACAACATATATCATGATGAAAATCAACTCTCCGTTGATTCCAGGCATTTAACCGTTTTTACATCAATTACATAATTCTAATTAACTCAGTGTGCTGGGACTTATGGAAGGAGGCTGAACCCCGCCGCTCGCGCTCATAATGTGTAAAACTACCAGTACTTAGGAAAGCGTTTCCTCGCAATCAAGGAATGAGGTGGTTTCGTGGTTGTTAATGCATTTTATATATCATCTTAGAAGGAAAAACAATAACAGCACTAATAAACTCCGGGGGAAAATCCTAACCAACTTTGTTAGATAATTTTTCAAAAGACGTTGACATATTCAGGCAATTTGTGTCTGAGTTATGGTATAGATATATCTTTTAAAAGTAGCTAAACCAACAAAAGTGTTTAATTAGAAACATTATTAAATAAATGAAAATAAAGATATGTTTATAAAATGAAAGAGGGTGTCATTTGAAGGACACTTCTGCAAAGATTTCCCCCCTAAAAGAGCGTTCGAAAACAAATATTCATGAAAAAATACATAATTTGATATTCTTTCATTAATATTCGACTTCAAACATTTACAATTGTTTTACATAATGAATTTAACGGTGCAATTGAAATCTGAATAGTAAATTAAATGGTATTTGAATACAAAATTTGTTTTAATTTCATGTTATAATCTACAGTCGTGGCTATGATCTAGCAACATCATCGAAAGACACCCTTCAAGATGAGAAGGGATCCAGAGGACCTCTTCCCGACGTTCCTGACGGTTATGCCAACTACATTGGGGGTGACCAGTCACTCTATGTCGAACCATACCTCAAACAAAATGAAGATCCCATTCGAAGCTATGAAGTCTACGAAAAACCAACTTGAATACATTACTACCAGTTTTAGATTTAATGAGAACTTCATATAGGAAAACTCGACTCTTGTTTATTAGCCTTCTTTTATACTTATGCTGTTATATTTTGTGTTGTTGTTTTATTCTCATAAATTTTGATTAATCTTTCCTTCAAATGTTAGAAGTTATTTTACGCAGTCATTCCCTGTTTCTCGATAATTTACACGAATATTCACCTATGAAAATGGCATACCATTAATATCCCTCTTCTTTCTCATAATGCATTAATTGATGTCTTGGAATTCACTGAATCCACTAAATATTGTATTGTGACAACGAATTCACGTTTCTGTGAATTTTTTGCATAATTTTTTAAATAAGAATATCCTATGTTTATTATTGAAATAAGTTTAAGACAAGGTTAAACCAGTTCTGCTTTAAGTACAGTATGTAGGAGAGGTGTACATTAAGATGAAACACGCATTTATTAGTTTATTTGAATTTAAATCTAAATTTTAAAAAAAAAAACATCCGTTATAATAACAGTACATATGAACAATCATACAATGCAAATAATAATACTAATGAATGTCAACATAACAGAATAGTAATGTTGATTAAACAGTAATGGTTTTAAATACGATTTTAGGCATATATCTGCATATTTTTACATATACAAAAGATATACACGTAAATATGTGTATTACTAATATTCAGGTGAAGTTAGTAATGGGAACTATAAGTTTGCACAGGTGCTACTCGAGCCCAGTTCCAAACTTTGGGAAGATTTCTTTTTTAAATGTGTTTGTACAT